CTTTACACAATGAGAAGCACTTCTTTCATTCATTGGAACCATGGCTAGGGCTAAAAGTAAGCAGGTTATAACAATAAATGGAGAAAAAGAAATTGGAATGACCTATGCAGCAAGGAGCAGCACCAAACAGTACCAGCAGGTTGGTGTGGCAACCGTAGAAATTTGAAATTATGCTAGCTGAAATTAGCGCCGAATAACTGATGGAACCGGGTAACTGACTGCTGGATTTGTGATGGCGGACCTGTACCTCTGAAATACCTATGACTGCTTTCTACAGGTTTTCAACTTGGAAAGAATCACACTTTCAACCTTAGTTACAGCAATATCTTTTAAGTTCTGTTATCATAAGATTGAATAGTCATAAATCATGGAGGCTGACAATGTTTTCTAACTGTGCTTTTGACTCCCCATCCCTGCTTTTCAGCATTCTATCTTTGTTTCAAAAAGCTATGGCAGTATGTATATTACGGACGCGTTTCTCTCAACTATTTTCCATGTACAGCAAGTATTATCAGATTCCCAAAGAGCAAAACAAGTTTCTCTTTTTAACCTTAGTAATGTATAAAGAGAAGGGATTATTAGCCCCTTGCTACCAGCATTTTAGTCACCTCTTACGACACGCATGGCTTACGGAGGAAAAATTCTGTTCCACTTTCCCATGGAGATAAGAAAAATAAACAAGAACAAGAACTAGTAAGAAAATAGAAGAAAACCCAGAGGAGTGTGTATATATATGCTTGTACATGCATGTGTTTTGTAACCTAAGTGTAAGTAGAAGTAGCAAGATGTACCTGAAATCTTGCATGTTTCTTCTTTCCTTCAACACACCAGCCGTATCCCACCGAGGCGAGGTGGCCCAAAAGGAAAAACGAAAGTTTCTCCTTTTACATTTAGTAATATATACAGGAGAAGAGGTTACTAGCCCCTTGCTCCCGGCATTTTAGTCGCCTCTTACAACACGCATGGCTTACGGAGGAAGAATTCTGTTCCATTTCCCCATGGAGATAAGAGGAAATAAACCAGAACAAGAACTAGAAAGAAAATAGCAGAAAACCCAGAGGGGTGTGTGTGTATATATATGCTTGTACATGTATGTGTAGTGTGACCTAAGTGTAAGTAGAAGTAGCAAGACGTACCTGAAATCTTGCACGTTCATGAGACAGAAAAAAAGACACCAGCAATCTTACCATCATGTAAAACAATTACAGGCCTCCGTTTTACACTTAATTGGCAGGATGATAGTACCTCCCTGGGTGGTTGCTGTCTACCAACCTACTACCTAGGTTTACTCTATACGTATATTTTACTGTACAGCCTCTCCTCACTTAACGATGGAGTTCCGTTCCTAAGACCATGTCGGTATACGAATTCATCACTAAACAAGGAGCATACTGTAATGCAGTGGTTCCCAAACTTTTTCAGCTTGTTACCCAATTTAACATGCCACATAAAGCATGTTACCCCTTTCACAAAATGTTGTTATTATTGATATATATGGCTAAACGTGAACGTATACAGCCTCGCATAGTCTGCTAATCCTAGCAAAACCATTGAAAACGTAAGAACCCCACGTACATTATATATAAAATTAATAATAGCTACAAATTCACAGTAACAGTGGGTAAATACTAACTATATACTGCACAGGGGAGTACACATACATACCAGCTTATGTCTACCTCGGCTGATGCTCACAGATAAACTGACAGTGTGAAATAGAGGCAGCCTCAGGAAGTGAGTGACGCATACTGGACAGGTCGATCTGGGCTACTGAGTGACTTTTGTCCTGAAGCATACTTGTCAAAATACTTTTGGGTTTCCACACACTTAGCTATATATTTCTTCTTTTCTAATACTGTATATTAGTTTTTGATGTTTATTGTTATTTGGTTTAACTTTATTACTTACTTATAATAGGTTTACTTTACAACTTTATATACTAAGACAAAGTTAACAATAATCCTCATACCGGGTACCGCATTGTTTTCTTGATTTTCAGAATTCATAACTTTTTTTCTGTCACCCCTCCATTACCCCCCAAAAATGGTTAAATTACCCCCAGGGGGTAATTTACCCTCAGTTTGGGAACCACTGCTGTAATGGTAGTGGGTTTGTGTCAGCCATCTTTGATATTGTTTTAATGTCCCCTCTGCACCATTTATAACATTTTAAGTATACATATTTTTAAATGTTTATACACTAGTGTACTGTATATTGTAATAAACAGAATAGAGGAAATTAGCTCTAATATACGTTATTTAGGTATGCATACTTGCCAGAGAGCCTGTCATAAGTCCGAGTCATCAATAAATGAGTACAGTGGACCCTCAACCAACGACATTAATCCGTTCCTGAGAGCTCATCGTTAATTGAAATTATCGTTAGTCGAGTTAATTTTCCCCATAAGAAATAATGGAAATCAAATTAATCCGTGCAAGACACCAAAAAGTATTGAAAAAAAAATTTTTTACCACATGAAATATTAATTTTAATACACACAAACTGAAGAAGACATGTACAATTACATGACACTTACCTTTATTGAAGATCTGGTGATGACTGATGGGATGGGAGGAGGGGAGACTGTGGATGGTGCTAGTGTTTAGAAGGGGAATCCCCATCCATTAGGACTTGAGGTGTCAAGTCCTTTTCTGGGGTTACTTCCCTTCTTCTTTTAATGCCACTAGGACCAGCTTGAGAGTCACTGGACCTCTGTCGCACAAAATATCTGTCCATAGAGGCCTGTACCTCCCGTTCCTTTATGACATTCCTAAAGTGTTTCACAACATTGTCAGTGTCACAATTAAACACTTGTTCAGGTTTCAATTCCTCACTATCTATGTACTCCTTGAATTCATGCACATATTTTTCAGCTGCTTTTTGGTCCAAACTGGCAGCCTCGCCATGCCTTATCACACTATGTATGCCACTACGATTCTTAAATCTCTCAAACCAACCTTTGCTGGCCTTAAATTCACTCACATCACCACTAGTTGCAGGCATTTTTCTAATTAAATCCTCATGCAACTTCCTAGCCTTTTCACATATGATCGCTTGAGAGATGCTATCTCCTGCTATCTGTTTTTCGTTTATCCACACCAATAACAGTCTCTCAACATCTTCTATCACTTGCGATCTCAGTTTCAAAAACACAGTTGCACCTTTGGCAAGAACAGCTTCCTTGATTGCCGTTTTCTTGGCCACAATAGTAGCGATGGTTGATTGGGGTTTTGTGTACAACCTGGCCAGCTCGGAGACACACACTCCATTTTCATACTTAGCTATGATCTCTTTCTTCATATCCATAGTAATTTTTGCTGTAGGGTTGGCACTAGAGGCTTTCTTGGGGCCCATGGCGACTTATTTTGCAGGTGCAATAATTAAAAACCCTGTGATAATATGAAATGTTCCAACTGTATGTTTGGATGGGACCACGGTGGCTGGCTGGCTTGTAAACACTGGCCACAAGTGGAGGCGTCTCAGAGGAAACGAATCATGTTGGTCGAGTTTTTTAGTGCTAGTCGAGGCAAATTTTTTGCGTTAAAATGTATCGCTAGTCGGATTTAACGTTAGACGATGCCATCATTGGTCGAGGGTCCACTGTATGTCGCTAAGTGCGGAGAGGTTGTATTGCTTTTATTTACAGTAAATGATCTCTTATTTTCTGGCTCATATCTCTCTACTGCCTTGAAAAAAATATTGACTAAAACAAATGCTGAACCCATATGGCTACAGAGTGCTGTTTCCTTGAAAGGAGCTGAGAGTAAAAAAAACAATAATTTAATATAATATTCTAGAAATGCTAATGGAGTGTGAGTAATTTAACATTTATGAAGGGGTTCAGGGAAACCCTGTTAGCCAGACTTCAGTCCTGGAGTTGGAAAGTACAGTGACTACACTCTAAAGGAGGGGTGAGGATGCTGCATTTAGGAGGGCTATCTGAACTGTGATGATGGCACACTTCTGGCAAGACAGCAATTGAATGAATGATGGTGAAAGTGTTACCTCTTCTTCTGGGGTCACCCTGCCCTGATGAGAAATAGCTGGTATGTTAAAAAAAAAATAGAGAACAAATGTATTAAGACTACTAACATCAGCAAGGCCTCTCTTTACTGACAAGAATTACAGTCAAGAGAAACTCTGTACAGGATATGTTACACAGAAATGCAACTAAATGACAGTATGAAAGAATACAGTATAGTACAGCCTCTCCTCACTTAATGACTGAGTTCCGTTCCTAAGACCTCGTCGGTAAGCAAATTCATCGCTGAGTGAGGAGCATACTAGTATAATGGTAGTGGGTTTGTATCAATCATCTTTGATATTGTTTTAATGTTACCTTTGCATAATTTATAACATTTTGGATATATTTTTAAATGTTTATAGAGTAGTGTATTGTATATTGTAATAAACAGAACAGAGGAAATCAGCTCTAATATACATTATTTTGGTATGCATACTGATCAGAGAGCCTGTCGTAAGTCCAAGTTGTTGGTAAACGAGTACATTGCTAAGTGAGGAGAGGCTGTATACTATAGTATAGTATTAGTATACATAGAGAAATAATCAGTAACCGTTTCAATGAAACAAGACAAAAAAATTATTAGAGACTGTATAAATAATGTAGGCGGTAAAGAAATTATGATTCACAATTCACAATGTGGACACTTCAAGACTTTCCTGACAACTGCAATCAGTAATATTCGCCAAAGCCACACATTAACCAAAATTTTCTTTTTTAACACGTTAGCCATTACCCACTGAGGCAGGGTGACCCAAAAAGAAAACCCCCAAAACAAAGAAAAAAATTTTCATCATCATTCAACACTTCCACAATCACTCATATATAATCACTGTCCTTGCAGATACAACAGTTTAGATGTCCCTCCAAACTGCCAATATCCCAAACCCCTCCTTTAAAGTGCAGACATTGTACTTCCCATTTCCAGGACTCAAGTCTGGCTAATCAAAAATATAAACTAAAATTTCAGTCAACTTACGCATGAGTAACAGCATGAGAATAGCCCTCCTTCACATCTGATATACGCTTGCTCAGCTCTTTTTTAGTCTCGAGGAATGACTGGAAGTAGGAATGTGGATGCAGTACTTCATCTCTGTAAGCAAATACAGTATGTACATACTTATATTAACTTTTTAAGTAAAACTAACAAATAAGTATTTTTTTTTTTCAACAAGTCGGCCATCTCCCACCGAGGCAGGGTGACCCAAAAAGAAAGAAAATCTCCAAAAAGAAAATACTTTCATCATCATTCAACACTTTCACCTCACTCATACATAATCCCTGTTTTTGCAGAGGTACCCAGAAACAACAGTTTAGAAGCATATACATGTATAGATATATAACATATCCCTCCAAACTGCCAGTATCTCAAACCCCTCCTTTAAAGTGCAGGCATTGTACTTCCCATTTCCAGAACTCAAGTCTGGTTATATAAAAATAACCGGTTTCCCTGAATCCCTTCAATAATATTACCTCCTCACACTCCAACAGCTCGTCAGGTCCCAAAAACCATTTGTCTCCATTCACTCCTAACACGCTCATGCACGCTTGCTGGAAGTCCAAGCCCCTCACCCACAAAACCTCCTTTACCCCCTCTCTCCAACCTTTTCGAGGATGACCCCTACCCCACCTTCCTTCCCCCTAAGTGAGGTTTGTTTGAAGTGTTCTAAATGCTCCAAATCATCGAAATATGCAGTAAAACATCATTTTACCATATTTTTCCGATTTTTTCAATGCTTTAGGTATTTTTAAAAAATATATGAAATATTCAAAATTATTTCTGAATTTCTAAGTCATTCTACTTTGATCCATTTGCTTTAAGTGACCACACCACCTCAACAACCCCTCTTCAGCCCTCTGACAATTACTTTTATTAACTCCACACCTTCTAATTTCCACACTCCAAATACTCTGCACAATATATACACCACACATTGCCCTTAGACAGGACATCTCCACCGCCTCCAAACGCCTCCTCGCTGCAGCATTTACAACCCAAGCTTCACACCCATGTGTGTTTGTACCACTATACTTTCATACATCCCCTTCTTTGCCTCCATAGATAATCTTTTTTGTCTCCACATATACCTCAACACACCACTCACCTTTTTCCCTTCATCAATTTTATAGTTAACCTCATCCTTCATAAACCCATCCGCTAACATGTCAACTCCCAAATACGTACGTACATATCTGAAAACATTCACTTCTTCCCTACTCCCTCTCTCCAATGTGATATCCAATGTTTCTTTATCTAAATCATTTGATACCCTCATCACCTTATTCTTATCTATGTTCACTTTCAACTTTCTACCTTTACACACCCTCACAAACTCGTCCACTAACCTTCGCAACTTTTCTTTAGAATGACCCATAAGCACAGTATCATCAGCACAAAGTAACTGTGTCAACTCCCATTTTGCATTTGATTCCCCATAATTTAATCCCATCCCTCTCTCCAACACCCTAGTATTTACTTCTTTTACAATCCCATCTATAAATACAGTGGACCCCCAGTTATCGGCCGTAATCTGTTCCAGAAGGTTGGCCGATAACCGAAATGGCCGATAACCAAATTAATATTTCCCATAAGAATAATTTGAAATACAATTAATCTGTTCCAAACAAAAATATTCACAAAAAAAAAAAAAATTTTAACAATTATGTAAGTATTACACACCGTTATTGTAGGCTAATGCTGGCTTCTGCAAAACAGGGAGGAGGAAAGAGGGAGGAGTTAGTGTTAAGAAGGAAAATCCCCCTCCATAAAGACTTTAGGTAGCAAAGCCTTCTCTGGGGTTACTTCCCTTCTCTGTCTTTTATTGCCACTAGGACCAGCTTGAGAGTCACTGGACCCGTCTCACAAAATAACTGTCCAGAGTGCTCTGTTTCTGGCGTCTCTAAGATTTTCCTGAAGTGGGACAGGGTTTTGTTAATAAACATGTTGCAGATATGGCTTGTTTCAGCTTTGTCAGGGTGGTGTTTCTCTACAAAAGCTTGCACCCTAGTCCACATTGCAAACACCTCTTTAATCTCTGAAGAAGGCACTTCCTTCACTCCCTCTTCCTCCTCCTGTGAAGTAAGTTCCTCAGCTGCAGTCTGTTGCTGTTCGAGATGAAGCTCTTGCAGCTTTTCAGTAGTTAGGTTTTTCCTGTGGTTCTCCACCAACTCTTCTACATCCTCACCACTCACCTCCAACCCTGGGGACTTCCCCAGTACCAAAATAGTGTCCACAGGGTCAGCAGGGTCAGGGTCAGGGTCAGCCTCAAACCTTTCAAAATCCCTCTCTTGGACTCAATCTGGCCAAAGTTTTCTCCAAGCAAAGTTCAAAGTCCTGGAAGTCACTCCCTCCCAAGCCTTACCTATAAGGCTTATGCAATGGAGGATATGAAGTGATTCCTCTAGAACTGTCTTAGGGTCAACTGAGTGTCCGAGGTCACTTAAAGCACTTTTGAAACGCTGCTTTTGTGTAGAGTTTTTTGAAGTTAGAAATGACCTGCTGGTCCATGGGCTGGAGAAGAGGAGTGGTGTTAGGAAGCAAGAACTTCAATGTGATGAAACTGAAGTCCCTAAACACCTGGTCTTCCAAGTCTGGAGGATGTGCAGGAGGATTGTCCAGTACCAGGAGGCACATGAGTGGCAATTTCTTTTCCAGGAGGTATTTTTTCACACTTGGGCCAAACACATCATTAACCCACTCTTTGAAAACTTGCCTTGTGCCCCATGCCTTATGAGATTAGCTTTCCACATCACACACAATCTCTTCTTCATGACATTGTTTTTCTTAAACACTCTGGGATTTTCTGATTTATACATAAGTAAAGGCTTCACTTTGAAATTCTTACTAGCATTACCACACAACAAAAGAGTAAGCCTGTCTTTCATAGGCTTGTGTCCTGGCAGTGCCTTTTCCTCTTGGGTAATGTAGGTCCTGTTTGGCATCTTCTTCCAAAACAAGCCTGTTTCATCACAAATGAACACTTGTTGGGGTTTGAATCCTTCAGCCTTTACATAGTCCTGGAATTCATGAACATATTTTTCAGCTGCACATTTGTCAGAACTTGCAGCCTCACCATGCCTTACAACACTGTGTATGCCACTACGCTTCTTAAATCTATCAAACCATCCTTTGCTGGCCCTAAATTCACAAACTGCAGCACTTGTTCCAGGCATTTTCTTTGCAAGATCCTCATGCAACTGCTTTGCCTTCTCACAAATGATCGACTCCACAACACTGTGTCCCACTAATTCTTTTTCCTTAACCCTTAAACTGTCCAAACGTAGATTTACGTTTTTTCAACATTTGAAAGTATGTAAAAAATGTAGATTTTTTTTTTTTACATTTGAAATCGTGTAAAAAAACTTGATCTACTTTTTTTTTTGTTATATTTGAAAATATGTAAAAAAAAAACCATAGATCTACTTTTGGAGCACTGCGCATGCCAACGTAAATCTGTTTGGACAGTTTAAGGGTTAATCCACAATAATAATAACTTTTTCATCTCTTCCATTATTGGGGGCCTTTGTTTAGTTAGAAAAGTTACTCCTTTTGCAACATTAGCATCTTTGATTTGTTCTTTCTTTGCCAGGATGGATGTCATTGTTGATTTATTCTTGCTGTACATCCTGGCAAGTTCCACCACCTTCATACCACTCTCAAACATTTCTATCACTTCACACTTAAATTCCATGGTGTTTCTCACTTTCTTCACCACAGGAACTTTACTAGAAGCTTTCTTTGGAGCCATCTTTACTTATTTCACAGTTGCACTGCAAGAAAAACCACTAAAAACAATGGTAAACAAGCGAAATGTTTGGATGTATGAGCAGAAGCTTCCTCAGCCACCGAGAGACAAAGCCAAACTGAAGCTCAAGCTGCCCCAGCCGGCGGATGGATGCGTCCAAAATGGCCGATAACTGGGCGCCGAAAAACCCGCCAATAACTGAGTTGGCCGATAACCAGGGGTCCACTGTATATTAAACAACCATGGTGACATTACACATTCCTGTGTAAGACCTACAGTGGTCCCTCACTTTTCGTAGTTCTCGGCAATCGTAAATTTTGCCAATCATAGGGGTATTTTCGTATAAACATGGACTCGCTTTTCATAGGTTGACTCGCGAATAGTAGTTCGTCCGGGACGCGTACACACGGTGTGAGCCAAGGCGGCCTCCCTACCCAGCCAGTCTGGCATTGTTTACCAGTGAGTGAAGGTCCCCTCAAGTGCTCCTACGAAATATTTCATAATATTCCACTCATTTTAGTGCTTGCAAGTACTAAATAAGCTACCATGGCTCCAAAGAAAGCTCCTAGTGCCAAGCCTGTGGTAAAGATGGTGAGAAATATGTACAGTGACAAAGTCTTGGGCCATTTTAGGGAAGTGTTAAAGAGACGCCAGAAACAGAGCTCTCTCCACAGTTACTTTGCGAGACAGGACTAGAGTGACTCTCAAGGTGGTCCTAGTGGCATTAAGAAACAGAGAAGAGAAGCAACCCCAGAGAAGCAATTGGTACCTGAGGTGTTGCTGGAAGGGGATTCCCCTTCCAAACTGTAAACAATCCAATCTCTCTCCTCCTCCAGTCTCCCATACACTAAGAAGAATCTCCAATAAAGGTAAGTGTTATGCTGTTAATGTTTCATTCATCATTTCCCATTGTATTGTTTATGTACTACATGTATATTTCATGTAAAAATTTTTTTTGTTTTATAGAGGAATAAGTTTACTGAGTATACCAGGAAAAGTATACGGTAGGGTTATAATTGAAAGAATTAGAGGTAAGACAGAATGTAGAATTGCGGACGAGCAAGGAGGCTTCAGAGTGGGTAGGGGATGTGTAGATCAAGTGTTTACATTGAAGCATATATGTGAACAGTATTTAGATAAAGGTAGGGAAGTTTTTATTGCATTTATGGATTTAGAAAAGGCATATGATAGAGTGGATAGAGGAGCAATGTGGCAGATGTTGCAAGTATATGGAATAGGTGGTAAGTTACTAAATGCTGTAAAGAGCTTTTATGAGGATAGTGAGGCTCAGGTTAGGGTGTGTAGAAGAGAGGGAGAATACTTCCCGGTAAAAGTAGGTCTTAGACAG